AGAGAGAGAGAAAGAGAGAAAGAGAGGGAGAGGTAGAGACAGAGAGAGCCCACGTATCAACCTTTCATTTTTTTTTTTGTTCATATGAAATTTTTTTGTATATGGCCGCAAGTTGTATAGCCCTTCAATTCAATAGGTTACTTGTTTAGCTCTAGTATTTTCCAAAAAGGAAAAAGAGCTCGGAGAGTTGTTCCATGGGTCCAAAAGAATAGTTTTGTTCTAGCTGTCTAACTGGGGTTTGTGATGGTGGGGGAACCGGATAAAAAAAATGGATTCTACTTGTAAGATATCTAATTTAACAGTAGGTAGAATTGAAATCTCAATCAAAGAGAAATACATCAAATATTTGGAGTTTCTTTTTGTATCTTATACAGATACAGATGATCCTATTGGCAAGGACCATGATTTGGAAATGTTTGATCATATTTATGTGGAGAAGAAGGCGTTGTGAACATCCCAAATAAGGCTACACTGACTAAATAAATTACATTTTGTGCAAATTCATAGGCCATGAGAATTATGTGGCCTCTTGTGTGGAGTTGTAGGCCTATGAGAGCAACGGCCAAAGCCTCAACAAACTTTTGCATAATATGTATACATGACAGCCACATTATTGGGAACCAGCCCTACAAGGGACACGTGCATATGTGGATAGTGGGATCCCCATTTACACAATGGTGACAAGTGCAAGACTTGCTCTTCAATGGGGGAACTGAAATTCACATTCCAGAATCATAATCCCACTGTTTATTGTCCAGCTTTAACAAGCCAATCAAGAACCCGTACTTTGAGAGTGTAGGATATGGGTCTCTGTTGGGTCGGATAAAAAAAACAGTAGTAGATCATGGTTCTTCGGCGAGTGGAGTACCTTTATTGTCGTTAATTTGACCCATTAATACCAATCCACTCCTAGTAAATTTTATTTTAATATTATAAATACTTTTATGATTTTTAAATATTTTTTAAAAGTTTGAAATATTATTTTTGCTATAATATTCATCTAAAAGGGTATTTCTGAAATTTTTAAAACTTAAAATAACACATGTGGAACCAAGGATCCAGGCCCGCATGTCTGTGTATTTTGTTTATATGTGGGGACCATGTGCTACCCTGTAGTGGGCCATGCCCAATTTATTTTAAGCAAAAAAGTGGCACGCCACTTTTTTTAGGAAAAGGGGGCACGCCCCAAAATTTCTTACTGTTGTTTAAAATTTAAAATTTGTAAAAATAGGAAATCTTTTTAATTTAAATTAGATTTGGTTCCCTATACTATGGGAGTTTTAAAATTCAAATTATCTTTTATTATCGAAGATTTAGATCAGGGAAAAATTTATATAGAGCCTAGGCTCTAAACAATCAAATTAGACCCTACCTCAAAAATTTCACAAGAAGAGGTTGTTTTGATGCCCAAATATCCTCAAATTGATCATCTCAACATCAAGATGCATGGACTTGAAAAAAAAAAGGGATTCCAAGTTTTGGAAATAGTACATCTTGTAACGCATTTTTGGACCATCAAGTTTTAAGTTATTCAAGTTTTCATAGATCTACTCGATCTACTCTATTTTGGAAGCTTTAAATTTTATAATTAAAGATGAAAATATATTTTAAGGTTAGTCAAAGATTTCCAGTATTGAAACCACATTTCTCAACACTTTTTGAAGGTGGGCTCTAATTTGATTGTTTAGAGCCTAGGCTCTACACAAACCACACCTTTTAGATAATGATAAAGTTTGGTTATATTTCAAATTTAAAAAGGAGTTGGATTTGGGTTAAAATATAAGGGGATAATGTTCCTATCTTTCTACACAAATTCATGATGGCTGATTTGTGAGACGGATGGCTTTGATTAATATCACCCCACAGATTTTCTAATTATCTTAAAAGTCTAGCTGAAAATTGAATAAAACACACTTAGATTGGAATCCTATTCAAAATAGGAAATAGATTTTGTTTCTATTTAAACAAGATTTGAACTCCATCTCTAAACACAACAAGAATCTCTCTCTCATGCAATAAAATTCTTTCTCCCTCTCTCATGCCACCGTCTCTCCTCTTCTCTTTCATGCAACCCTCTCTCCTATTCTCTTTCACGCACCTCTTCTCATATTTTTTCACCCCACCCTCTCTCTCCTCTTGTTGGAGTGAGTTTTATCAAAAGAAAAAAAAAAGGAGGAAAGATGGAACTTTCAAAACCCTAAGTAAAGCTTATTGTATTTTGAAGAAAAAAAAGGGTGACAACCAACCTAAAGAGAGATCAGCTCACAAGCTCAGCCCAAGTTTGCTCACATGGGATTTCTATAGAACCTAGTTGATTTTATAGCTCTCCAAGACTCTAAAAAGCGAAATATTACCTATAAAGCTTCCCTATCTCAAAATTTCCAGTAAAAGTGTCTTCGGTCAGGGAATCAGGTGCAAGTTATACCTAGACCTATGAGGGTAACTCCAGACATCTTTCAATAAGTCTACCTAGTAGTTCTAATTAATTTTTAGTATTATTTCTTTTTTTTGTGAATTTCTAAGAACATGTATTGTATTGTTTTAACTAATTTTCAGTAGTATTTCTTTTTTTTTATGAATTTCCAGGAACATGTATTGTACTAAAAAATAATAGTGAAAGTTTGTTTAAAACTCATGGATAGTTTCTACTTCTTTTGGGAGTGAAAATAAACATCCTAGATTATATGTAGGGTAGCATTTTAATTTACAGCAACATAAAATGGCCTATGTAAGTGGAATTCAGGTATATTGATCAAAAGAAAAAAAAAAATGAATTTAATACCTTGAGTTCCACATAGCCACTCCTTTCAAAACATTAGGTTGAAAAAAGAAGATCAAAGCAACAATTAAGCGAAAAGGGCAAAAAAAAAAAAGTATGAAAACATGAAGCAATCAAGAAAATAATGTCGTGATTTTTCTAAAGTTTATGGGCACGTATGATGTTTTCTTCATATTTGTAAACTATAATATATAGAGTACAATTTCACTCTTAAAACCAACTCTATATGTCTTTTGGAAAATTTGTATCACTTCTGAGATTGGGACGTTATGGGTTTTCCATATGGGAACTAATATGGTGGAAATAATTTGTATTTGATTTGAAGGTTTTTTGTTTCAAGTTTCAACAAGCAATGTCTTGAGGAGTATAGCTGTATGTAGTTTAAAATGGACAACACAATCAAAATGAAATTCAGACCTAACAATGAATCAAACAGAATCTCTGAGGCAATACAAGACTAACCTCCATCATGGTAGTATCTGAAAAGTGCTTCCTAATTTCTATGAATCGCAAAAAAAACCTCACAAGCAGCAGCATAGACATCAACCATGCTCACAGAGAAGCTCATCTCGATTACTTTTCAATTACCTTTGAAAAGCATACTGGCCAACACCAACATGTATTATGATATTCTCCATTAGCAAACAATTTTTCTCTTTAAAAAATTACTAATAATCTAAACCTAAAAGTAGCATATATATATATATATAAAGCACCCAATCTTCTCTGTACCATCCTCAATAAACATAATCAATCACTTCCGATGGCCATAATGCAAAAACTTTTGTTCTATTAAATACATGTTCTGCTTTATTAACTTTCAGATCAACCAAATTATCCATCTTCGAAAATTTTTCGGTTTAGGTTACATTTATGCTTTGCAGGTACTTCAGTTTCTACTAGAGGCAGCCGAAAAATGCCAACCAAGGAGCTGAGGCTTGAGTAATTATACAACTGGAGCATCATAAATGTTTCTAGGTTTGAACAAAATAAATAAGAACTAATAACTCCCCAAGGACCATTCATGTGGGTGCAAAGAAATTCCAAAAGTAAAATCGGTTTCTAATGTTCCCAGATTTCCATGAAATGGAATTTAAAACCAAACTTCTGGAAAGTGGAAACCTGTGATCAATACTTCTTGCTAAGCATAAAATATCTCCTTGATCTGCAGCTCAAGTTGGAGGATGATTGGCAACACAAGTGTGTGAGAGAATCTATGCACGCACATTGCTACAATGGCATTTCATAAATTACTAGTCATTATAAATCATTTCATTCATAATCAAATTCATGGATATTTTTGTTGTTGTACCACTAGGCTGCATAATGTTCACTTCAATTTTCAGTAATGAGAGAACTCGTAACCCTTGTATGGCTCATTTTTAACATGCTAATCATGACAGTCTTACTCAATAGCTAAATGATATCTCAAGCAGCAATATTGCCCCCGAAGATCTTGTGGGATCGACTGATTGAAAGAACGGAAAGTAAACTATCTGGAAGAGCAAGCTTCCTCCCTGTTGGGGGATTACGGTTATTACAACTACCTGGCTACTCGTCTATTTTTGTCTTTCTTCCAAGACGTGACAGTATAATGATAAATTGGAAAGGTTTGAGCCGAAATTCCTGAGAAGTAGGTGAAAGCACATATTTCACCTCGATGGATGAGGAGAGGTATTTCAGCCAAAGAACAAAGATGGAGACTCTAATCTGTGACAAAAGAACTTGCCATTGCCCTTGTTTGTAGCCAGCCTGCTCTAGCTAACTATGGTCATTTGCAGGTCTAAAGTATAATCACTTTAATTCTTCTCCTCTCAAATACTCAAGTTAAACCACCAATGCTTATGTTCAGTTACAATGTGGGGTTTTTGGATAACCAGCTCACACTAAGAAGCTAGGATACCACAAACCTATAACGACATTACTCTTCATCTCAAAGAATGCCCACTCCATACTTGGACCCGCCTAAAAAGACATATCCCTCACCATATCGTGGTATAAGAAACAATATAAACAAAGACTACTTCATTCTCCATTACTACGTTTAGATAGGATGTAATATTCGTAATCACAAGATTGTCACACAAGAAAATCTTCAAAAGAGACAACATAAAGCCCCGCTTGAAGATTATTTAGTCTCTCCAAATTACAACAAACTATTTTAGCATATGCTATAGTTTCTACTAAAGAAAACACTGTACCAACAGTAAAACAAAAGTACGAGTAAATTGTAAATGACAGCAAACTAAGTAACTAAGAATGCCAGGAATATGGCCTTTTCCTGTCTCTTTGGAGACATCCGCTAAAATTGGAACAATGCAGAGAAGTCTGTTCGAAAAATAGAAAAAGAAAAAAAGGAATGCCAAGAATATGGAAGAATATCCAATGACCACTTACCAAAAACAAACTCAACTCCTTGCCACATCATTTGAGCAGAGCTGTTTGCAAAATCCAGCTACAAACCCACATAGAGTTTATAATTAATACGAAGTAAAACTTCAATAAAATGCAAATATGCTTCAAATTACTCGTATAGAATGATGTCCAACTCAAGAGAACTACAGAGAAATAGCTTGATTATTTCTGAGAAGCAGCTTGAAGACATTAACTGGCATTGCTTTCCGAAGCAAATAAAAAGTTGACGCAAATAAATGGTTTGACGGCACAAGACATGTTATTAAGAAAATTTCTTACAGGGTTGTACGGCAATTAGAAATTTTGCACCTATATGTCGAAATGTGGGACCTAATTTTCATCCCTTTTTTTTTTATACATAACTAGGATTGAGATAAAATTTGGAGGGCATGTACACATCAAAGGCAATAATTCAAATAAAACAAATTGACAAAATAACCCTCAAATTGTTTGGGTATTTCAATCCTTTTAGTTTTTAGAAAATATTCTTTTATATTTTTCACATGTGCATGAGTGTGAGAAGAAAGATCTAACCAAGGGAAGGAAAATGAAGCCATGTTTAGCGACAGAAAATGTGACAGTGAGCCAATCAAAGGAAGGAAACCTAAGCTGCATTCTATATAGAGAGCGAGACTGTGTATAGAGAGAGGTGACTGGCTGGTCCTGTCACACGGTGACCATGCCGCATAGATACTAGTCATTCCTCCCCCTCCCTGCCAAAACAAAAAACAAAAAAAAACACCAAAGGTCCGCCCAGCAGCCTAGATGGTTAGGGCCCCTGACCGCCTAAGCAGCCACCTCCGCCTTTATGAACACTGGGAAAGACTAAAATTTAATTTAGCATTTCGATGAAATATTATTTGAAAGCTTTAGAGGTATTTCAGTCATTTTATTTATCCAATATGTTATATTTTTTACAGTGTGTGAGGAAAATTTTAACTCAATCCAATGTATAGTGGAAAAACAAAATTGAAATACTCAGACGTGCTGTCAACCATCAGTGAGGACTTCAGTTATTCTATTTTTTTCCAAATATTTGTTATATTTTTCATGGGTGTGTGAGGGTGAGACGTATAAGCGCACAAAATTTCAATCTGATGTGTACAAAAAGATAAAACTTAAATACTTAGACATGCTCTCTACACATCCTAGAATTTTTTTAGGTGATCTAGGCCGTCCATTTCATTAGACCTACCATGTATGAGCTATGATTTTAAAATCTAATTTATTCGACAAACAGCACCATCCCATCAATGAAAATTTCAATGAATGATAAAACTAGCTAATTTTCAAATCTCCAAGTTTACAAAATTTCACCTTAAATCAAACACAGTTTTCCAAGATCCCAAAAATTCCAGAAAAATTAGCCAAACACAGTATTTTCCATTAGTAGATACTCAAAGTTCCAACTTATAGATTTCAAAATTGGAAGTTTCCAGTTCTGATTCCAACTTCCAATTGCGAAACAACCGCCAGCCTAAAGCATCACTCTTGCTTCGCTATTTGTATATGATTTTAAAAGCATTAACAGAGTTACTAACCAAAAGAAGTGCATGCAACATTTCAATACCGGTCAAGTAAACACAACAATATTGAGATTTAAGACCATGTGATGTAGATCTGGTCACGGGTACTCTGGTTTATTACTCTTTAGGAAAACTAAAGGCAGTTTAGGAAATATTTAACAGTTAATTAAAATAATCAACAAATTAGAGGCAAATGAGCTAGAGAATAATAGTATTCTTGATCAAATAAATTATTACCGGATGAGTTCCAATTTGTTATAAATATCAGAAATTCTATGTAACCAATGCTTTGAGGGTTTTTAAGCGGCCTTGAACTTTCCAATGTATGAGGACTTGGTAAGGGGACTTCAGAAGCATCTAGACTTAGCTTTGGAATCTATAAGAAGATATTGTATTACATATAAGAGATAGGGGTGGCAACGGGTCGGGTATGGGTCGAGTCCAGTTGTACCCGGACATGGACCCGGCGGGTCTAAATTAAATGTACCCGAACCCAGACTCGGACCTGTACCCGACGGGCAACTATGGACCTAAGACCCGGACCCGTACCCAATATTAGCCAATAACAGAGTTTAGAAATAGGCCGTGCGTCATTGCCTCAAACACCCCAATGCCCCCTATATTTATAGATCTCAACCTACTTATTTCTTCCTACTCCCATCGATGTGGGACTAATCTTAATAGATCACAGCCTCTCTCTCCTTCTACTTTGTAAATACTTTTACTTTGTACATACTTATTTCCTTCTTGGAAAAGATCCACTTTTGCACGTGGGAAATGCCTGTCGTATGCCCTTTCTTGGAAAAGGTCCACTCTATACCCCTAATGCTTGATCACGACGTGGATTTACTTTTTGGTCAAGGCCTGCCTCCCACTTCCCTTGCTTAGAAGGATTCCCCATACGTATCACTGAAAACACAACAAACGTTGTGGATCCGTACCTCACGTTCATTTAATGGACGGTTCAGATCCATCCTTTATTGTTGGTTTAGATTATTGGGTCGTAGGTGGGAGGGGTTAGAGAGAGAGAGAAAATTGTGGTTGCATTGTGGGTTGAGAAAAACTTTTAATCCCACATCCCAGGATTTAGAAAGGTAATATGAGGGGCTATCCTATAAAAATGAAGGGTAGGTTCCTAAACAAGTGGGAAGCTGCGGGTCCCAAGTTGGGTATGGAGCTTGTTCACAAGTACCCAGACCCGTACCCAAAAATCTTCGGGTCCAATATATGGGACCCGGACCCTACCCGTGGCTCCAAGGTTTGGACCCATACCCGACCGTGTCAGGTATACCCGGTGGGTACTGGGTCAGGTCTGGGCCCATTACCAACCCTAGTAAGAGAAAAACCTATTTTGTGTTCTTATCCTTCACTCTTTCTAGCTTGCATCATTTGGTAACAGAATAGACCTCGATCATCAAGAAGTCAACTGAAATATCGCGAAGTAGGAAGGGGAGGTTGTGCTCAAGGTACCAACGAAAAATGCCCATAGAGGGAGAGATTCAAGAAATTCAAGTAAAATTTGAGCATTTGACAAATGCACCAACCAGAGTCCCAACATAAAAATGGATAACATTTGGAGGATCCTTCAGAAACCAATGAGAACCCCTTCCATCACCTTGATGGGCGAATAGAGCTGGATGGAGAGAGATTCAGAGATGGGATGACCGGAGTACTGGACCATGGGGGTGAGTTGGGATGCTGTTCTCAACCTTGACATCCACGGTGAAAAGTTTTGTTGATCGGGAACAACTTGTATCTGTGATGAAGAAGTTCCAATCCTGGAAGTGCTTAAGATGAAACCTACTTTGGATAGACATATGAATTTATACTACAAAGAGCTTGAAATCTCACCGTGTGGATGAACATCCTTCTTTGAAGAGATAAGATCCTTTTATGAGAGGATTTCTCAATCCATTATAACTCTTGTTTTTGAAGAATGCAGTCAACAGTTTGATAACTAGCCGGCTGTTGAGGTGTGGAGATCTAAAAGAGACCCAAAGCAAGCGATGGGAATACACCACCAACTACCAAAAGTAAAATCTAAGGCTCAAATGAACTGGAAGGGAAGCGTGGTAAAGATTTTGAAAACTGGGTGAGAGTTCTCTTCAACCGAGGTAGACTGATGTAGCTAGAGATAAGGGAATTCAGTTCTACAGAGATTTAGGGGCTGTTTAGGAAATATTTAGTAGATAATTAAAATAATCAATAAATTAACTTGGGGCAAGTTGGGTAGAGGATAATAGTGTTTTTAATTAAAAATTATCACTTGATGAGTTCCAATGTATTGTTTGAGATGAGAATTATATACATCGTCAATGCTTATATGGGTTCTTAGGTGGCTTCTAGTCCTCCTGTCTATGGTGAGGGGTCTTTCGAGGCATCTAGACTTAGTTATGGAGTCCATAAGAAGTCCCTATGTTGCCTAAAAAATAAAGTGACGGATTTTGAATTAAATGATTCAATCTATGAGAAAACCTAATTTACGATCTTCTCTCTTCCTAGCTTGCATCAACTTGGCCAGTCGTTAGGGCATTGAACTGTAGCACAATGTCCAAAGATCAGAACCCACTAACTAATAAAAAGATTAATAAAAACATAAGGCATAAAACCATTAAGTACTGAATACAATCAAGAAAGGCTAATTGAAATTCTCCAAAGTCACACCATACGAATCACAAAAATCTTCTTAAATCCTCCAACAACACAGCATAAGGTCCAAAATATCATGTGATTCATTAATTTTTCGCCAATGGAGGATTCACATTGACGGTTCAACATAACTCAAAACAAGTTAAATTGCGTATAACATAAATGAAGATATAATGCATAAATCAAATGAAAAGGAACATGAGACGTGACCATACCGTGGTTTCAATGACTACTGTCACTAGATTCAGCAGTAGTACAAAAATGATGATGTATTCAAATGTAGCGCTCCACACAAACGACTTCATCTTTTCGCACATAGGAGAATGATAAAACCTAGGGTACTTTTCAAACCATGAAGGCTGTAAAGAGTTCCATGATGTTAACAATATGACAGATAGTTAATGGAGTCAGGTATGTCACATAAGAGGGTATAGATTCTTTGATATAACAGAAAAGAGACTTACAGTAGCCTCCTTTTGGAATCTCAGAGAAATAGCATTGCAAAGGTCAGCAAATTCATCACAATTTATCTGTAGTTGACAGAAAATAACGTGAACTAATGGGTGTTGTAAAAATAAATATTCTAAATATCCAACAAGGAAACGACTTGAAAGCAAATTAAAATAATATGCAGCAGTAAACCAATTTAATCTTCTCAAAATTTACCTTAAAATCAATAGAAAGTTATATGTGGAAACTCAAATCATCATTCCAAGCAACAAAAGATGAACCTTGGCAACTTTTCTTAGTCTTGTTGTGGTGATAAAACTTCAGACACATGCTAAGAAACTAAAAATATCCTAACTAAATATTTGATTGCAAAGCACATTTTGTATTATACATGTACGATTTGCATAAAGTTAGAACTTTGAAGGGATGCTCTGAAATCTAAAGGTTTTAAAATTAGCCGGACTATGACAAGTTACATGGAATGCAAGTTTAGTAATAATAGGAGCAGAAACGAGGAAGTAGTTAAAATTGACGGCCACGAAATACCAAAACTTTCGATATCTTAGGTCAATTATACAGGAAAATGGAGAGATTGAGGAAAATGTCGCACATAGAATTAAAGCTAGGTGGGCGAAGTGGAGATGTGCAACCCGAATTTATGTGATTGCCGCACACCAATGAAGCTGAAGGGAAAGTTTTATAGGACAGTTGTACGACCAGCTTTGCTCTATGGGATGAAATGTTGGGCAGTCAAAAAACAATATACCCATAAAATGAGTGTAGCTGAGATAAGGATATTGAGATGGATTAGAGGCAAGACAAGAAGGGATAGAATTTGAAATGAATACATTCAAGAAAATTTAGTGTGGTACCAATAGGTGATAAGATGAGAGAGAGTAGACTTAGGTGGCTAGCCATGTGTCGCGCACACCCAGTACAGCACTTATTAGGAGGTGAGAGTTAATTCAAGTGGAAGGCTCACAAAGGGTAAGGGGTAAGCCCAAAGGGACATGATTGGAAGTAGTGAGAAAAGATATGGGAACTTATAGCCTCACTGAAGGTATGGCCCTTAATAGAACAGAATGGCGGACCAGGATTCGTGTAGTCGACCCTAATTAGTTGGGAAAGGTTCTAGACAATGATGATGATATGCATGTTTTGCATGTCTGTAACTTATTTTATGTTATCGATATAAAGTATGCACATGCATAACTTCTAAACATTTTTTTTTCCAGCATTAAATCTCCGCCTAAGAGTTGCACTAGAATAAGTTGTATGCCAAGTTTAGAGCGCCACTATTCGCCACGGCAACTCCAGGAATGGAATAGCAAAGCACTGCCAGTGGCAGGGTTCTAACAATAGCAATGAAAAAAAACAACATACATACATATATAATGCAGAAAAGGGAAGCCAAGTGAGGGGCTAGTTATGACCATTCTCAGATGCCTACCTGCACGGTGCCCCAAAAGCAAGGTAAAGGTAAGGTTTGGGCATTGCTATCGGGACATCCAAACAGGACTTATATGCAAATACCATTAGTACCCTGAACCAATAAGTAGCGACATTTTATTAAAAGGCCATCACAAAAAATCCCAAAGAAAAGAAATGCTATGGACACATGCAGCTGGGTACACACGACACGAACAATCCTAGACAAGGGACTTGCCAAGAGGTTTAGGACATCCTAAGAAGCCAAACTCTACCAAGAGATGCAAACAAACAACTTGAACCAACAAAGTTGCAAGTAGGGACAGGGATCGAGATTGTTCGCAAGCTTAAATACAAAATAGGCCAGAATTTTGTTGGTTAATAAACAACTTTTTACTAGATGCATGAGAGGTGTTTTTTATCTTTTTGATCTTGTATCCTTAAAGCATACATGCTTGTGTGCTTATGGTGGCATTATCTTTGTAGGCTCATCAATGTAATCAACAATACCTGTTTTTCTTCGTTTATGCATACATATGACTTGTACAAACATAAGGTAGTATAATTATAAGGCTGGCCTCATAGGTCACAGCATTGACAATTGGACTGCTCTAAGTTCAAAACGCACCACTAACTTCAGATCAAAAAGGAGGGGAGGGAAAAAAAAAAAAGTGTGCCACATGTCAACCATGGAAACATACAAAATGAAGCTAAAGATGCCAATAGATTCCATGAGAACCATATGTTTGAACCTCATGTGAAGAATACTAGCAAATACAAAAGTCTAAGGTTTCTTCATTCAGCTCTTAGAAAATGAAGAAATGGTAGATCTACCTTAAAATCCCCACTATCATCAAGTTCGTAAAAGATACATTCAAAATCATCTCTCAAAATTCTTGGCAAAGACCTGCAAAAAATGCCACAGCACAATTATTGAAAATTATATACATACCACATAGCAGTTTTGTGAACAAATATTAGAATGAATACGAGTTTGTGAAACACAATCCATCTAGACTCTGGACAAATAAATGAGGAATCAAATAGACAAAAAGGATACTCCTTTATTACCAGACCTTATTCTCTTTCTAGATACTCCTTTATTTCCAATTCTTCCTCAAGTATTTGAGTATGTTTGTTTTTTTGAGAAAGTATTTGATTATGTTTGTTTTGTTCATGTTTTGGGTCCCAAGCCTGATGAGTTCGATCCTCGAGCAATTAATTGTGTATTTTTTCGATATTCTAGTACACAGAAGGTTATCAATGCTATCATTCTGGTTTGAGAAAGCATTTTATTGTATTAATGTCACCTTTTTTTTAGGAATTAGGATACTCCATATTTTTCTGATCAGGGTCGAATGCTTGACGTGGATTTTTTTTATCCTTTCAAGGGCAGACTTCACATAATAAAGTATGTTCTCCTTCCTCTTCTTCAGTTCATTCTCCTATTCCTGTTGATAGTTCTTTGTCACCACCTCAAGCGTCTAGCCTCTCCTACTCTTGTTAATGTCCACAGGAACAGTCCCAAAAGGTATATATGAGGAAGAAAGTGAAGAACACGCCCTTACCACCAACTCAGCGAGACCAATGCTAGTTCATGATCTCACTTTTGTGCTTGATCATGCTGATCTTCCAATATCCATTTGTAAAGGTTAACAATCTTGTACTAAACATCCAATTGTTCATTTTATTACCTTTACAAATTTGTTGTCTTCTTACAGAATTTTGCTATGTCACTTTAATCTATTCACGTACCCACATCTTATCAAGAAGCTCTTTCTCATGAGTGGTGGAAGAGAGCAATGGATAAAGAATTGGCAGCACTTTAATCAAATGGCACATGGGAGCTTATTGATTTGCCAGCATGAAGGAGGCATGTTGGATGTCATTAGATTTATGCAGTTAAAACATCAGCCACATGGATCTGTGGAAAGGTTAAAGACCAGGTTGGTGGCAAAGGGAATATTGATTTTCTAAGACATTGGCTTTTGTTACCAAACTTAATTATGTTCGAGTGCTCATATCTGCAGCAGCAAACAAGGGGTGCCCATTGTGGCGACTTGATGTTAAAAACACTTTCCTTCGTGGTGATTTACAAGAAGAGGTGTACCTGGAGCAACGGCCCGAGTTTGTGGCTCAAGGGGAGTAAGACAAGGTATGCAAGTTGAAGATTGCCATTTATGGCCTAAAGCAATTCCCACATGCATGTTTGAGAAGCGAAATTGTTATAGCATATGGGTTTCAATAAACCACGTGGATCATTCAAAATTTATTCGGAGACAGTTACTGGGGCAGACATAGCCTTTGCAATGAGTGTACTGAGCCGTTCATGCATTCTCCCAGGACACCATATTGGGATGCTATGAGGCGAACCTTGCGATGTCTCAAAGGGGTTTCAGGATGTGGACATATCTACAAGCAAAGTGGCTATTTCAGCATTGAAAGAAATTATGATGCCAATTGGGCAGGCTCTCCATCAGACAGAAGATCCACTATAAGCTATTGTACTTTTGTTGGAGGAAACTAGGTGACATGGAAGAGTAAGAAATATAATTTACTAGCCAGATCTAGCACAGAAGTTGAATATAGTGCAAGGACTCACTCTACATGTGAGTTATTGTGGCTGAGAACTTTGATGCAAGAGATAGGATTCATAGTTACTGAGCCAATAGAGATGCTTTGTGAAAATCAAGAAGCCAGTTTTCCATTAGAGAACAAAGCATATTCAAGTGGATTTTTATTTTAATTAGGAGAAAGTAGCCAATAAGCAGTTATCTACTCCATATGTGAAGTCAAATGGTCAACTAGCTGATATATTCACCAAGGCTCTTGGTCGTAACCAGACTCAGATGATTTGTTCCAAGCTGCGCACGCGTGACATTTATGCTCCAGCTTGAGGGGGAGTGTTGAAGATTAATTATTTTAGTTATGTGTCTCGTTTGTGGGCAACTAGGACATTCTCGTCCTTTTTATATTCTTAAGAACATTAGTACAATAATAAGGTATTACACTAATTTTATAAATAAGTTCTTTTTGTAAATAAGATAGATAGGCGTGGAGGCTATGAAACCCTAACAGGACCGCCTTCAGCCACCTCTCTCCATCTTCTTACGTTCTCTCTCCAACTTTCCCTCTCCCCAACTTTTCTCTCACTTCTTCCTCTCATCTCTCTCTTCTTTCTCTTTGGTACATGCCACCACTTATACAATCTATAGCTCAATACATGCCACCACTTATACAATCTCCACAATCTATAGCTCAATACATGCCACCACTTATACAATGCAGGGAGAAAATGATAAATAAAAATAATCTTTACTCTTCACAAGATCCAAGACAATCTTTACTCTTCAAAAATAACCAGTTCTAATAAAAAGGACCTTTTGCCTTTAAATATAAATTAAAAATAAAAAAATAAAAAACACAAATACTCGCTCTCCCCCGCCCATCCAACATTTTCTCCCTCTCCTCTATCTTCATGTCACATAAATCTCTATCTTCTTCTCTCTCTCTCTCTCAACCTCACATACATCCCATAAATCTCTCCGATCTTATATTTACTATTTTCTCTCTAGCTTCATAACCACTACCTTTTAAAATAACATAAAATTTCCATTCCTGCCGCTAAAATCTCTACAATCAATAAAACATAAACATCCCTAAAGAAGATTAAAAACCCAATATAACATACAAAAAGAAGATTAAAAACCAAATATAACCCCAAACCTAAAAATCTAGAAAATAATAAATAAAAAAATAAAATAAAACCTATAACATCATTCTCCCTCCTTTCGGAAAAGCTCGACCACGAGCTTCTTGAGTTAATATTCTCTAGAGGCTATTGCAATAATTGGTGATGCAGTCCTACCATTTGTCTGGATATTTTTTCTTCTTCAATGAACCCATAAATCAAATACTGGATGTGCAGCTTATAAGGGAACTCTAGGATGCGAATCATAATCTTGATTTCTTCTTCAAAGCCAAAGGATGGCATGTCACGTACTGCAAGTGACGTATCTTTTTCTTCATAATTGGTTATCGTAATTTGTAGCACTTTTGAGCTATCAACATCTTTCGCACTGACATTTACCTCTTAATGTTCTTGTTCCTCATGTTGCAAATTACCAAGTAGATCTTGTAGACCTTATTGTATTACATTGCTAATATGTTCTATCAGGTCTTCTGTGAGTCTCTCAAATATTTAATCCAATCAATCCAAGTGCTCCATAATTGGATCGGTATATGTTTGTGATGGTATCATGATGTATGGATTTCAAGGCTCTGATACCAATGGATGCAGGAAGAAAATAATAAATATAAAAATAAATAAGTAAAAGAATATATCCTCTCCCACGGTCTACAAAGGTGTCCACCCTAAATATCTCTTCACATGATCCAAAATAATTTCTTTACTCATCAAAAATAACCAATTCTCAAAAAAGGGCCTTTTTCCCTTTGAATAGAAACTAAAAAGAAATAATAAAAATAAAATAGAAAACCAAACACTCACTCTCTTTCTCTCCGACATTTTATCTTTTTCTCTTCTCTTTATCTCACGCAAATCTCTTTCTTCTCTCTCTCAACCTCACATAATCCCATAAATCTCTCTAATCCGTATCTTCCCTATTTTCTCTCTAGCTTCCTTATTACTATCTTTTAAAATAAAATAAATTTTCCTATTCTACCCCTAAAATCTCTACAATCAACAAAAGACATAAACACCCCTAAAGAAGATCAAAAACCCGATATAACCCCAAACCTAAAAATCTAAAAAATAATAAAATAAAAATGATGAAACTATTTACATCATTTTCTTACCAAGCCTGCAATCCATTCATTGTAGAATACTAGAATTTAAGGTTATGTTAGCCTGATGAAACCAGAAGTGAACTTATCCTCATACAACCTTCTACCTCATTATTCACTTTACACTAATGAATATCAGATCAAAGCAATCTGGATAGAGCTAAAGTAGACAGAACTAAAGGGTACGAGAGAAGTGAGATGAAAATATATACCTCTGTTTTTGTAAACTTGACAAAATCATATTGGAGGATGCATAGATATTTTCTGAAATCGTTTACAGATCCTAACACTCCAAAACAATAAATATTTTTTGTTACGCATTCCTCAATGACATAGTATCCATAAACTTTGTGGCCCTTGCAATAGTAAAACAATTCATATCCATCGGCCAGGCACATCTGCAATACCATGTCATACCAATATTGACTAAGTCATAACAATTGCACACTACGTAACACCCATATAAAAAAGAACTTCAGTTTCACAAATTACAAACGGATGGGGATGAAGTCATACCTATAGTTATTCAACTCTTCGAAAAGATATATACACTGCTCTTTATTAAGAAAACCTTGCTTCTGTTGACACAAAAAAGAAATAATCCCACTCAATATATCCACAAGGCCTCTGACAATAAATCATCCCATCTGCATTAGAAATACATAATGCCATGGTGACAAACAATTGCCTAAATACTTCAATCTACTAAATACTGAACAACTATAGTCGAACATGTGGAAAAAATGCAGAAAAAGATTTCCTGGTGGTCTAGATTACAAGACGGGTCAGGCCAAGGTAGAAATTGTGCTCATGAGAAAGAAGGGTAAGGAAAGTGCTAGTCGAGATTTTTGAACAAATTTCAGTAAAATTCAAATAAATTGGAGTTATCAATAGTGTAAGATTATAGATTGTGGCACCCACCAGTCAAGATTTTTGAACAAATTTCAGTAAAATTCAAATAAATTGGAGCTATCAATAGTGTAAGATTATAGATTGTGACACCCACTATACATTGGAAAATTACCATAATACAGAGACATCTTGTCTTTTAATTCAATAATAATATATTGAATTCCTTTTCAGGTTTAAACCACAAGGGAGAATGACATAAGAGAAAAAGAGATGCGCTATAATTCACAGTCATGAAGAAAATAAAAATTAAAAAAACAACACAAGAAAAAACACTATAACACAAGTGATGCGCACACCTCAGGACCTGAAGAGTAGCCAACACACAATAAGAAGAGAAACGTACCCACCAAAAGGGGATGAGATCAAGAAAGAGATGCAATACAATGAACTATTGCAGAAACTAGATTCACAAAAGAAAAAACTATATATTATTCCCCCACAAAGATCAGATCACTCTTTCTTCTTCTTTTTCTTTAAACGATCAAAATGTACACAATAAGTGTTTTTTATGACATTGATTGCAAAAGAAGTAAATAAATAAAAAACAACAGTTTTGAATTCTTGCTTAACTTGCATATTTTGTACATTCCAAAAATTGTACATGAATGCCACACAAATACAATAGGATTCCGTCATAATGACCGCATATGGAATTCATAAAAATAGATTAGAAGAATGCTCTACATATATGTCAAGATATAAGGAAAGGAACAAGTTATACAAACTACCTGGAGACCAAAAGTAAAATTCAAGACCCACTTACATGTTCATCCAGAATATTAAAAGCTACTGTCAAGATATTTTTCCGCAAAGTGTCCATCTCAACCACTTGTTTTGCAAGCTGCAAGATACAATCAGAAGAAAATAACCTGTCCACATAATTCAAAGATTCCACCAGACTCGTCTCAAAATTTGACGATTTCCATGGAAAATATGAATATATATTGCATTACTTATCTTTGATATAACCAATGGCCAAAAAGGTCCTGATGGTGCTAAATTCGAAACTTAATGCAAGAGAAATATAGCATCCCATGAGAATATACCTGCTCTTTGAAACTATCATAAACAACGGCAAGAATTAGGTTGGTGACAAAATACACCCCCAGTAACACATAAAGCACAAAGAAGAGGCAATACCACCGAGAACTCCTGCAAATAATTGTGATTAGTTTGGCCATATGTCAAAACATACACTCAATTGACAATGTTAGTCTCCTTCAGTGACAAATCCAAAATATATAAAAATAAATAGTACATAAAAAAATGATTCTTAATTTGGCATGTCTTGACTAACTAACACAATCATCAAAGGACAAAGCAAAGCAATTCAAACAGACAAAGCAAAGGAATTCAAACATTAATAACACAATAACACTTAAATATTGTTCATTGCAATTGGAGTATTGGACCATTTGAATCCACTAACTCATATGAATGGGGTGAGTTTTGCCATGAATATGATAGTCAAATCACTATACAGATAGTTCTAAAGTGCAAGCATGATGAAGAAGTGGAGGCATGATGAAGAAGTGGAAGTAGGTATCATCACCTAGCATCACTCTTGGACCTATACAAGCACCCACAGTGTGTATGTGTTAACCAAGTTTAAGCTGTTCATAAAAGTTTTGCGAAGTGGTATGATAATAAGACTCAACCAGTTTCGATGCAATACCATTTCTCTCTATGCCATGTACTGATATAATACTCAACTAATTGAACAAAAACTTATGAAGCAAACCTCGCAAAAACTTGATGGTTACTAGAGAGAGAAGCCACAAATATAATATAAAGTGCAAGTCACCAAATGGAAGGTGTCACCACAAATCCCCCACATAAATTGACTTCTAAAAATTTTGATAGTTACAATTTGAACAATAGCCTTTATACAAAGAATTTTTTGGAGTTCTGTATTTTTTATTGATGCATCACAACTATCAAATAACTGAATAATATGAAAAATTATCCTTGTATAGATTCTTGCTTACTTGTACCCAGGAATCCAAACATCTGGATTGTTGGACGTGGTGAAAAGAACAAACATTTGGTACAAAGTTGCCCCATAGGATTTAAATACCATAGAGCCCTGAATGGTATCCTCGAATATGACATAAGCCAACCAGCTAGAGAACAACATAAACAAGAAACCCATGGCCTGCATCCAAAACAAAGCTGAAAAACTAATTAGGTAAAAATTAATCGGAGCACTATACAAACAATTTCAGAATAACAAGAGCATTGAGTAATGGAATGCTATGTATATTAGAACATGCGGCAGCAGAAAATATTTTAGGTATTACATATCATATCAAATTCCCAAAGGATGTCAAAATGATTGTGTTGCCAATTGTTAAAACTATACTCGTATAGAAATTACTGGCAGAAGTTTTAAACTTAAAAGTGGACATAAGGTGAAGCAAGGAAAAGGAGATTACCAAGGCATCAAAGTACACCTGTGCCATTCCAGCTAATGTCAACATACAAACCCGTAACTCCCTAAGCATCAAGGGTCAAAGAGAACATCATGTCAATAACTCCAAAGCCCATCCATGATGAAAAGGAAATGTCATGCATCAGGATCTCAAAATATCAAAAACTACTAGATTAATAAATAAACCCATAAAATTGTAGTTCTATAGAAGACTAACAATCCGACAAAAAAAGAGGTAAAAAGTTTGAAATAGATGTTCCAATTTCATCTTGAACATCTGCCAAATTTGGGTGTAGGTTTAGTGAACCTTTTTCACGGAACTATCATCCACATCTGTAACATTTCTAAAATGGTCATTGTTTTTACAACTAGATGTTGTACCCTTTCCTGTACAAGGTTTTGCCCTTATGTTTTCTTCGTTACAGGTTTCCACCAAACCCCGATACAGCATCTGTTGGGATGTGCAAGTTAGTTCAAGTGGAAAGCTTAAAAAGCGCAAGGGGTAGGCCCAAAAAGACATGTTTGGAAGTAGTGAGAAAAGATATGAGGACTTATAGCCTCACTAAGGATATGGCCCTTTAATAGAGTAGAATGGCGGGCCAGGATTCACGTAGCCAACCCCAAATAGTTGGGAAAAGGCTCTGATGATGATATTCACAACTTCCCACCAGACCTTCAAGATGTTGCATCTTCTAAAATGTCTACTGGGATTGTATTTTTACAATTTTTCTCAACATTTCTCTCTAAAGTGTCCACTGGAATTCTCTGGAAAAATAGGTCTATGATTCCAAAAAAATTGCTTTGGATCTTGCAAATACGAGCAGAAGGCTCCAATTCAGGACTAAGATGGATGAGAAATAAAAAGGCATAGATTTTTCATTTTCTAAACAAAGAAGGTAAAAAGGGGAATAACATCGATCTGGAGTGATTTTTGATAAATTAGTTGGGACTCAAAAATAGCATGCGTCCAAAAGAAAAATAACCCAGTTCACTATAGTCTCCACTTTGTGAGCCTCCAGAACCAGAGATCTACTGATTATGATCCAATGCAAACGATTTCGAGTTAGATCACAGATTCTTAAACTACTGCTCAAAGCCTTTCTCATATAAAGGGGAAATGGGAAAAAAGAATATTAATGAACATATCACAACTTATATACATCAAAAAGAAAAAAAAAGTTACCAATCTTATCTAATTCATAAAAATTCAAGGGAAAATTATAGATACCCTACTAAACCCAACCTTCAAAGCATGCCCACCACCAATACTTTCTAAATCACACCACTGACCCCAATACTATTTACTTTTGCACCCACCCCCAAGTAAAAAAGTAGCTCTTTTTTAGGATGAAAATACCCCTGCCTACAAGACATGTTTCTCTCAAGGAAATAAATCAAGCCGCACAAAGTGCGCCCAACCAGGTACATACGGACCAGAAGCATGTCTGCCACACTATACCAGACAAACTTCATTTACAAAAAATGAGGGTGGTGAGAGAAACGTGGGTTATAGGGAGGATTTTTTCATCCCTAGAAAATTACTTTTTACTTCTACTTTTTTTTTTGTTGTTGGGGGGGGGCGGCAAAAATAAATAGTATTTGAGTTAGTGGCGTGATTTAAAAAGTATAGGGGATGGGCATGCCTAGAAAATTGGATCCATGGGAGGTATCTATAATTTTCCCAAAATTCAACTAGACTCCTAGAACTTGAGTAACCAGGTAAGACAAGAATTAAAGAATCATTTTGATGCACAAGCTAAAAGACTAAGGAGACACTTGGGGTTTTTGGATAGGCATCCATGTCCTAATAGTTGGCAGTTCTTTGTGTTGTACCCTACGTCATGGAGTATCCACACCTAAAAACGTAAGATAATCTTGTGCACATCAGTTTCTCCTAATAATCTAGAATTAGTGTATTTATAATGGTATCAAGTCTCCAAACAAGAGGCAAATTTGAACACATCAGTTTCCCCCGATAATCTAGAATTAGTGTATTTATAATGGTATCAAGTCTCCAAATAAAAGGCCAGAAATTCCACAAAATCTAGACCAAAATTCCATTCAAATACCTCAATATTCGAAACAGATCATGGGAAGCACTGTGAGAAAGATAGGCTAGACCAAAATTCCATTCAAATACCTCAATATTCAAAAAAGATCATGGGAAGAGCTATGAGAAAGATAGGCTACAAAGACAAAAGAACAGAGGCAGTAAACTTGCATAAGGTCCAGATCATCTTAAGTTATCTTTGGATTCATTATGGAATTCACAATGCAGAATCAGACTTCAGCAGTCGTGAGTTTGAAAGGTTGTTCTGTCCATCTAAACAAATCCTTCAAGAAAGCATCAAAGCAGAAGGTTATTTCAATCATTCCACTGAACACATATTGATTACTCTTTGCACACAAAAAAGCTAACTTATATAGATGTTTAATGTAAATAACCTAAAAGAGTTAATAAATAAGAAGACACTTGATGAGAAATCCATATCACAGAGTAAGCACACCTAGAATTCAATTATCAAAAAGAAAATGAAGATCATATCAACATACCTGATATTCAGAATGACAAAGATAACACGAATATATGGGGCAAATCTGAGAGGCAAAGATGTAATGGGCCCCGGAGTTACATATAGAGCATCAACGAATAAGTCACCCATCAAGAGCAAAAGGAATACAACCTGCAAATGTAATCAGTCAGATCAATAATAGATAAGAACAAAAATTGAATAACATAGACTGACTATCAATATGATCCATGTAAAACATAAAGTAAATAGATTTTGCAGAATTGAAAGCATAGGCATCTTCTATCATCCAATAGAATGGCAACAACCAACTTTGTAGTTTATGAGTTACTTTGCTTGAGTGAAAGCCAATAACCAAGTCAGAAACAAGACAATTAAACTAAACAAGGGACCACCTCATATTCATCTAGGAAATCAACACATAGAGGAATGGCCTCAACGTTAGGTGGTCAAGGTGGCAGGGCACCACAAAATGACGTCTTGAATTACATTCCTACTATGGGTAAGGGACCCCTTCACTGTTGAACTAACCCCCCCCCCCCTCGGTTAAAAATAAATAAATAAACACTCATGCTTCACCTGTATCAGTCAGATGGAAAGATGAATAAGAAAGAATTATATTACTTAATTTTCATAACTATTAGAGTAGATATTCTCCTAAAATGAGAAACCCAAGGTAAATGCCAAGGTGAGCAGTCAATTTTACCAAAAAGAAGGCAGGAAATTCATAGCATTTCGACAGATCTTTGATATGCTCAAGTACCATGACTCTTTCTTCCCCACTGCACAATTATCCCAACCAAGGCTCACAAGAAGACTAGTATAGTAGGACAATATTCATATAGCTTCTATAAGCTTCTATTCTTTATCTTTATTTGTTCCGTTGTTTTTTCTGTCGTTATTTGTATGTTGCCTTTTGTTGCATATGTGGATTCTTCTTTGCAAAAAGAGTGGAGCACTTATCTGCCATCACTTTTGCAAGTATGATCAGGAAGTAATTCATGATTTAAGCATAAACACTAAGTGATCTTGTTGGCATGCATATATAACACCACAAGCAGTATTATAAGAAATATTTCTTTAGGAATAACTAAGATGTTGGATGATTGGTTTGAATGAAAAAGAAAATAAAAAATAAAAAGTATCAAAAAATTTGTGGCAAAGCACCTTTATGACATTAAGTGACTTCTTCCAATAGCAATCCCAACCCTCATACAAAACTGGAAATAAGGTATGCAAAATCAGTATCAGTAGAGTTACTCCCTGCAATAGGTAATGAATACACCATTAGCACTATAAAATAAATAGGAAGAGAAAAGAGAGAAAATACTAGAAGCAATATTTTCCAATATTACATAATAATTCATTATCACATATAGGAAATAGCAAGAAAATGACATATAAGGGAATCATCATTTACAATGGATGTAACATCGTGTTTCAAAACCTTTAATATTCCTTCTTAAGTGTTATGCCGTCATGCATTCTGTTATTCACCTTTTTCCATTTTGGAACTTCAAATAATTGTTTTCAAACAGCCAATTTAGTATCCACTGTAAGGGCACTCAAAGGGTCTTTGCAAAAATATTGTCAGATATGTTTAGCCATGTCCTGCAAGTGCCACAAGTCTTACAAAGTGTAGGATACAGACTGTGTTTGCTCTGAAGTGTCCAAATAACAAATGTGCTGCAGAAATTCTTACTTGTCAAAGCAAACCCTGGATATCCAGTTCAAAAAAATTTCATTCACGAAAAATTAGAATCAAAATTGAGACCACCATCCATAGGGAATCAAAATTGAGACCACCATCCATAGGACACACCACCACTTCTCGAAATTGACCTTTCAACACTTTTCATTAAGCACCTAATAATAAGATGATCCGTATATAACTGTGTCCCTATAGAATCAAACAAACCTCATAAACAAGAGCTTGATTAAGAGTTAAGTATGGCAACTCCCCCAAGAAATAAGACTGTCTGTCGTTGCAAGGAGATGGAGTTGTATTGGCACACCATAAAGGCTCCTATAAGAGACAATCAAGAGAAGAAGAATTACATTAGATACATATCAATGTCAGACCAAACTGATAATTTATCATCTTACTTTTTCCACCAAAATAATCTTGGTAGTGACCAGGACTCGTCATTCCGAAAGCATAAATACCTCAACTGACCTCAAGAAAATTTAGCAATAGTAGAGCAACAAGATTAAGGCTCCAAAGCAAATTGAACCGCATAAAGATAAAGTAAAACTTTGCGGCCTTCTCAAATCTTGAACCCTCAAGAACCTCTACTGGTAACCCGATTCCATCCTCAGCCTGAAAATGTGTGTTCGTTAGATGACAAACAAAAATATAAAAAAGGCATAAGAAACATGTCACTCCTGTCAATACTAAGAACCTGTGGGTTTCTTAATCCAAAAGCACAAAATATTGAAGAGATCTACTCAAGGCAAAGAGCTCTATTGTTCCAGTTACAAAGGTAGCAGACAAAACGTAGGGGAATGCATGCAGTTACCTCAAAAGAATATTCGACACAAAAATGCATATCACCACGACAATGTCAACAGAGTTGAATTAAGTATTATAAGTTATAACACATGACAAAGTGTTATTTTCATGGGGTTTCTCTTGGAACCATCAAATTGTATCTCAGTTAAAGCATAGTTTTAAACTTAATATCGATGATCCTTTTTCTTTTTTTTCTTTTGAACTACTACACATCCATGATCTGTGTATACACCAAAAATGTTCATAGAGTTGAGTTAGGTGTCATGAGTTTATAATACAGCAGAAACAATATTAGTCTCATGGGGTTCCTCTTGAAATCATCAAACTAAGTACCCCAGTTTTTTTTTAAGCTGTTAATAAACTAATTACCCCAGTTTAAAATATTTTTAATATAAACTACAAATAATCAAATATATGCAATTAAAGGCAGAACAGATACTATGTACAGTAGATATATTTATATTACTACAAGAAAAATGTGCGAAAAAATAACCACTGAATGTTCTGAAGAGCGAATAATAAAATAACAAACTTTAACACAAGAAAATAAGAGAGCTTAGCCAGTTCTCATGAATCATGCGTTGTTCCAGGAGCTTGATTCAGATACAAGGCCAGATAAGAGGCCCCACAACCTCCACAGTCATATACAATTGCTCAAACTTGGTTAATTAAGCTTCAACTTTTACATACAACTACACCACTTGAAATCCTCATTTCCCAGATTCAAATAAAAAAAAAAAGTTGCAGATACACCTTTGCAAAAAACAATCATCAGGCATAGTAACAGTTGCAAATTTTTGAATCTAGACGGTTTAATCACGAACAAACTAGAAACAAAACATTTGCAAAATTCCCAAACTATACATAAATAAAAAACAATAAAAATTCAAACAAAAAGCACAGGTAACAAAAATTTTCATGCAAGACCTCAAAGATAGGAGAGGGAAAGAGACAGAATACCAATAAAGAGTCGATGTTACTTGATGTTTTCACCATGAATGATTGGAATTTAAAGAAAAAGGCGAAACACTGACCAGATCAACGAGAGCTGCGGCCTTCTGATATGGTGTACCATAAGCAATAGCATCGGATCTTCTCTTAAAATTAAAAGTGTTCGGCCTGCCTGTGCTCGTGCTCGCAGGTCGAATCAAAGGGTCATCCATTGCCAGGCTCTCTGAGAACCCAATAGTTCAGAGAGAAAATAACTTCCCGCGCTTTTAAAAACTGTTAGAGAGAGAAAATGAATAAGGAATGTTCCTCCTTTCCAGATTTAGAGAGAGAGAGAGAGAGAGAGAGAGAGAAGACAGTGGAGTAGCGGATAAGGTACAACGTGAGATCTGGATATGTGGACTCTAGCGTAAAAAGGGGACCAGAGAAGTTTTTCGCGAAAGAGAGCTCTATGCTCTCTTAATGCTTCTTAGGGGCTGGACCCGTTGAAATGTTAAAGAAATTGTGAATACATGTCATTGATAACAAATATATATTAATAATGGAAGACATTACGCAATAATAGTATTCTCAACTATATAGGCTCATCGCCATTCAAAAAAATCCAAATGGGCATAGCAAGTATGCAACTGTGGTGAAATACTCTAGCATTGCGTCAATTGGCATTTTTTAAGTTTTTTTATTAATAATATAAATATAAATATATTATATATATAACATAGAAGCCACTATATAACGCCTATGGGTGAACATGAAACGTATTTTTGCCCATAGGCTTGGCGTTGTCCGATTTTTTCGAACGGCTGCCGTAACGGACATAGCATGTACGTGGTTGTATTTTTTATACAAAAAAATAGAGACAAACATCACGAGATCCGTAACGATTTTTAAAACAAAACTACCGGTATGTCCATGGTGGGACAAAATATTATTCAATTTCGCCTAAAATTATTTTTAAGAGTTTTCATAAAACATTATATTATATATAATATAATATATTTATATATATAAACTAGAGAGAGATTTGAATACTAATTAGCTTGTGTGGAGAGATCTATGTCGATGGAGAGAACGCTTAATTAGATACAGAGAGGGATTTGTAAGCAAAATTAGAAGAGGCTGCTGAGAGTAAGAGAGAGACAGCTGGGTTTGACTCGCGAGAGTTTGCTGTGTGTGAAGAGACAAAAAAAACGGCGACGATTTTGTAATTACGCGCCACTTTTAAAATTACCCCGTTGATACTTAAGAAGTTATTTTCTTCAAGGGAAAATTACATGTATATTCGTTATATTTTATGTTATTATGGTTGCATCAAATAGTTTTCATTATTATATGTCTGTTCGTTTTTTATTTTTTATAATATATATTTTTAAAAAAAAACTATTTTATCATTTTTCAGATATTGAATAACCGAATTGAAAGATTTTTTGGATGTTCAACATCCTAAAATAACTCGAAAGTTTAACCTTCACATTCTCATAATAGATCTAATTCGATTGTTCAACAAGTGAAAATGAGCCCAATAGCTTTTTATCACTTCATCTTCTCTATTCTCTATGTTTTGCTCTGTGCTTATCTGGAATTTCGCAGTCGGATGTTGAACATCTAAAAATGTCACAATTTTATATGTTGGACATCCGAAAATATCATAGTTTCAGATGTTCAACATCCCAAAATGTGACATTTTCGGATGTTGGCAAATGCAAGCTTTCTGTTCTCTGCGTTTTGCTCTATGCACATGTGAACAGCTTTCTGTTCACATGTTGGACATCCAAAAATGTCACAATTTCATATGTTGGACATCCGAAAATATCATAGTTTCAAGTGTTCAACATCAAAAAATGTGACATTTTCCAATGTTAGCAATGCAAGCTTTCTGAAATGTGACTGATATTGTTCAACAACCGAAAATATATTAAATTCTGATGTTGAACATCTGAAAAACCTTTCAATTCGGTTGTTCAACACCCGAAAAAGGGTAAAGTCGTTTTTTAAAAAAAATTGTTTTGTGAAAGGTAAAAAACGGACATACCTGTAATAACGTAAACTACTCAGTATATTCGTAATAACGTAAAATATAACAGACATATGTGTAATTTTCCCTATTTTCAATTCGTGTTTATTTTTTATAGAAAAAATTATTTATAACAAATTATTTCCCCCAATTACCCAATTCTACTTGAAAGTCTGAATTTGCATTTTAGGTTCTGTACGACTTCGGATCTTGCAAGTTCGGTATCATCAATTTTGGACATTTATGGTCTATGTTAACAAGAAAACCCTTTCAAATGAGATCAGAAGTTGAGCTTGCGAACAACTTCAAACCTTGAATGTCTCTAATTGAAAACTTTATGCTTTGAAGATCCGAAGTTGTCTCGAATCCGAACTTGAAGTTGTCTCAAATTCAACTCGTGACCAAAGTCCCGAGTTAAGGCAATTGTAAAAAATATATAAAAATTATCAAAAATTTATGAAGGAAAATTTAAAGAGAAATTCTTAAATAAGTATATTTGAGAAGATAACCAGATAAATTTGAGGATTATATCTAATGAGACCATTTGCCTATTGTACAAGAATATCACAATTGCATAGGACCATTCGATGTGAAATTTGATAGCTTGAGTGTGTCACAAAGTTTGAGAATTTTTCTTTTAAACTTTATGTTTAGGGACCACCCAATTTCACATCCAAAGGTTAAGATTAATTGCTACCATGTTGTGCAAAAGATTAAAAGAATAATTTTATATGGAGCCGAGACTCTAAACAATAAAATTAGAGCCCATCTCAAAAATTTCAGTAGAAGAGGTATCAAAACGACCTCTTATACTGAAATTTTTATTCTCAAGATGCATGGACATGGTTGAAAATGGATTTCAAATTTTGGGAATAAAACATCTGATACGCATTATTTTTACCGTCAATTTTCAAGTTTTCATAGGTCTGCTCAATCTACATTATTTTTAAGCTTTAAATTTTATAATTAAATATAAAAAAATATTTTAAGGCTATCACAAATATTTTGGGTATTGAAACCACATTTCTTGACACTATTTGAAAGTGCAATTTTAATGGTCCCATAATATATTTTTCCATTTTTTATTTAAATATTGTAATACTCGGATCAAGTGTCGGCAGATACTAACAGCTAGGCCATCTGAACTATCGCCGGTATGGGCCAAGATGGAGAGAGCAACATGTCCACCAATTGAAATATCGAATTAAATATGGTGGGACACACTTACTCCATCACTTATCAGCAGATATATGGATGGTGAAACCTGAGATTCACTAGTATGTTAATGGTAATATTGATTTTATTTTATTTTTTGCGAGGAATTTACGTGCATAATCTCTAATATATTTGTGAAACAAAGTTCAGCCTTTTTTCTTTTGTAATTACATTCATAAATAGTTCTTGTTTTAAATGTTGTCTTCAGATCTTCAATATCTAAAAATAAACAATTTAGGAATTACATATTGCTTTTAAATTTCGGATCCTAAAAATTGAAATTTGTGTGTGAAATATGTGAAAATTTGGCCCAATTTTGGATTTTGAATATCTGAACAAATTTAAAATTTTTGACATCCAAAATTTTGGATCTTAAAAATATGAGATTGTACATGTTTCCTAGTGGTCCCATTGTGCATCAATCGTCCTATGGACCAAAATAAATTTCGGATTATCAACATCTAAATATATCAAACGTTGAAAATTTGAATTTTTTATCATGAATATTGAAAAAAAAAAAAAAAAAGTGAAAATAAGTAATTTATTACTTTATAGTCTGAAAAAAGGGTAGTTTGGAACGAAAAACAATAAAAGAGAAAAAATATAAAAAATACAATTTTAAACTAATTTAAAAATTCCATTATTTCATTAATTTTATGAATATACCTTTTTCTCTTTTTTATTTTTTAACCCAAAATATGCCTTCACAAATGTGTCCGTGTGGACCCCTCATAGACCTCTAATGGCCACAAATAGGCCCCAAAACTCAAATATGTTAGATCCATGATGAGCATTCACAAACCACTCATCCCGATTCATAAGCAAAACTCATGGTTCAAAACAACGAATCGGTGATCCAAATCGGACGATTTTGGTTTAAATAATGTTCAAAAATCACTAAAAATAGTGTTTTTTGAGTTTCGAAAAAAAATTTGGTTGTTATATTGTGTTTTCGTTATTTTATAATAATATGTGAATATTGATACGTTGTTTTCCTATCTTGATGTCTATATAATAATTACTTATATTATGGTATTATAGTATTGCATTAAACATGGTTCAAAAAAATACTAAAAAACACTTTCATATTATTAGATTACTGAAATTAGTACCTCTTATAAAGTAAAATTAGTATCAGATCAAATATTCATTTATTCTCTATACTCATCCAAAATTATCACAACCTAACCAACAATAATACTATATACTAAAATTATAATAATTACTTTATATTTTATAACTATTATATCATACAAATAAAAATATTAAATTGTCTTATAATATCATCTAATATAACTTCCCCCTCCACGTTTTTCTCTCTTCTCTCTCCTCCCCCATGTACTATCACCTAACTCGTATATCTCTCTTTCATAGCTTATATTTCTTAACAACTCCTCACCCTACTTTTTTGCGCTATTCTCTCTCCTACTCAATACTCTCTCGTGTAACTCATTTCCAAATAAAGCCCTCTCATCTATCTCTTTCTTTGTAACCTCACTTAATTCCTCTCTCTCTTGTAACTCCTATTAAGCATTTATAGTAAATATTTATTTATTCATTCTCTCCTCCTATACCCTCTCCTCGTCTCTTCCTCCAATCAGTTTATGTCTTTCCCTCTCTCTAAAATTATTTATACAATTTTTACAAATATGTTTTAATAACTATCCCTGACTATATTCATATTTATGAACAAATAATACTCATTAATATAATAATATGAACATATAAATTATAATCTTATAATTTCAATTTATTAAAATTAAAATGACAACAATGTTAATCATAGCTCCATTTATGATAATTATATATTATTCATACAATAAAAAATAATACTTATATTAGTGAATGCAAAAAAATAAAAATATTATATATTCTTTCTCTGTTTGTATTTTATTAAATTTATCAATTATTTATAATATAATTGTCTTCTATGTTTAGCCTTTAAATTTTTTATTATTATGATTTTGACCTTTTATTTCAATTTTTTGAAAAAGAGCACCTCAAATATATAATGATAAACTCTTTTTAAGTAACCCAATATTACTATTATTTTTGTCTCCCGTACCATATTAAGTCATTTTTACGTGTAACGCTGTCTCATCTTCATTATATATATCTCTCTTTGTACATTCTAATTCATTATTTGAGTCTCTCAAATCCTCTCTCCATAACATACATGCAACTCTATTCCTCGAATCATACAATTTACTCATCTCTCAACGCCTTTTTGCACATGCATATCGCATTAAATGCAAA